AGTATAACGTGCGTATGTCGATTTGCGCTTACAATGCACGTGTTTTTTTTAAATATTCGGCACAAGGAATCGCGTTGAGCGATTGAATTATCGTAGATGAATGCGCTTGATTACGAGTTTTCTGTTACTAAATCTTCAACGTTGTATCAACAAAGTTCTCTAACTTCGAATACTTATTTAAATCAAGTAAACGTATACGTTAGAAATTTATTTGAGCGTTGCGAATGTCTTATATAAATAATATAATTATAATAAAATGTTCTCGATAGCGTGAATAAACGAGTTAAATGAATAAAAAATGCATGTAAAAGATTGCGATGTGATTGCGCGTTATTAATTTTCGAGAAATTAATGCGTAATCGATCATTCTGAATTATAACAACATCGTTTATCATCGATCATCATTACGTTAATGATTGATGAATTGGTTTAACATCGTGCATTCGAAAGGAATATCGTTCGCGATTTCGAAGCTTACATGTTGTATCGAGATGTGTGCAACGCGTTTTATTACGTTAATTATTTCATTATTCGTAAAGTTAATTAATTATTACGTTATTTAATTATTTGCTTTACTTTACACCTAACTGTATGTCTATCTAAGGAAGAGTTTTTCTTTGACCGTGGGCACACCAATTCCCGCCGTTTGTCCACTCATTGTCAGCTTAAAGATTCAGCATAAACAATAAGCACGCGTATATGTCATCATATACGCGTGAATAAATGCATATAGCTACCATAGAATATATCACAACGATAAAACGAGTTAGATCCTCTCTCTTTCCTCTCTCTCCCGTTATTATAGAGACTCCAAGTAGATAACGGATGTACAGTTATATAAATTGCACACAACGCTTCCGGTTGGGGCGGACGTGGAGAAATGTATCGATACTTATATATTATGTACGAACGCAGTCGAAGAAAGAAACGAACGAGGGCTGGACACGCGATTTGCGCCTTTTCGCGCACAATAAACTCACGTCGCCATTATTTGTATTATCGCGTGACCGCGATTGAGAACCAGTTGCTAAGTATTCGGCACGGAAAACGCGAAAGCGAAATAAGTCGCCGAAATAACGCGCGAACGTCGCGGTCGATTGTGTACGTGAATTATCGCGAAAATGCGAGATGTAAAGTCTATCAGGTGCTGCGTAATCGCGCCGATATGTCTGAAAAAAATCGAGAAAGCTAAAGCGCGTGCAATCGTCATCGTGAAAGAGTTTTTAGTACGTGCAGCGATTAATCGAATCGGTATAATCTCGCTGGCTGAAAATTTCGACGTCATGAAACACTGGAAAATCACTATTGCTTATTTGCGACAATGGAAACGCGATCGAAATTATATCGGTCTCAAATTGTAATTCTAAAGTACGATCCATTCTATGGGAATATAAAATTGACATAGATACTTGAGAATTTTGAAAGTCACTCTCTATTCACAGTCCTAAATTATTCGTTTTAGAAAGATTTGTCGATATCGACTCAGAAAAGGTAATTATTTAAAAAATATCTAAAACAGTTAAGTGTTATTTCTAAGAAATTTATTAAATGTTAGATATTTTTTGAATGTTTTACGAATCGTTCTGTTAACTTTTTTTTATTTAGAGAATTGTATTTTAATTGTGTGTATTAAAAAAAATTATTGATATAAATCAGTACTTTACGGTTTCGACGAGTTAGAGACTTGAAGAAGTAGAGACGATACTTTTATATTTTTCCCTTTCAATTTTTGTATAAAATTTAGATATTTATTTATTCAGTGAAAGAAGATTGCCAATTGAATTTAAATACGGTATGTTTTAATAAGTGCTAAAATTTATCGCGTATATAATTGTTTATGAGAATTCGTAATTTACTTTTCGATGACGAAGTCGATTAGATTGATCAATATTATCTAATAAAAATCGCACGGTTCAGCATTTTCACATTAAACGTGACGCTCGAATATGACCTTCCCTCCTTCATTTCTCTCAAATATCTGAGGTGAATAGTGTCCCAAGGCAGAATCCTGGACTACTACGGATTACCTATTCTCATAAAGAATTCTCGCGGAATACTAAGGCAAGGATCTCCTTATTAAATGCACGACTGATAGTAGCGTCTGGTAAATGGACTATTTGGCGATTGCGAAATAGAATGGAGGACGAGAGAATGGGGAGAGGAAGAGTAAGAATGGTAGCGTAGGAGGGATGAGAAAGAGTCAGAGGGTGGGTTGGGCGTGTCAGCTGGTCGATATCCTGAATGGCAAGCTTCCACGGCTCAGCTTGCAGTCAGCCGCTACATCCGAGGGGCAAGAGAGAAGCAAAAAGAAAACTTGCTATGTATACGTGTATATAGAATATTTCAGAAGTTTTTCGTGCTTTTTCTAAATTATAAACATCAGAAGTCCAACTAAAAAAAAGAATGTCGCTCAATTATTTTTATATTGCCAACACGAAGATTGACAAGTTTTAAAGAATTAAATGTTTGAAATGTATAAGTAATGCAACTTTATTTTTTAATTAATTTTAAATCAGATCTAAAATTTTTAATTGAAATTTAATTATTGAAATATATAAATCGTGAGAATTACAAAAGCAAAAGATAGCATCCAATCTAATTTTTACTAAGGAAGAATTAGCTATATTTAAAAAGTACTCTTAGCTACTAGACAGCTTTTACATGAAAGGTGCAAAGAAGAAAGTTCCGAGTGTAGGTTTTGGAAACTTCTTGTGATCGATGGTCTGGCGAACAGGATTTCAGAAAGGACAGCGAGTACAAGAGAAGGAAATAGAACACCATGCAATTAACGTTAATTAAATTGACAAAACATTGGGCAACGAAATACGTTGAAACAAGAAGACTGTTGTATGCTCGGAACTAAAAACAATTCCCGCAAATAAAAGTAATTGTATTTCACTATCTTTCTTGTTTTGCATACTAAAAAGGATGGGATTAGTAATGATATAAATCAATAAAATTAGTAGCTACGTTGGTTTACTATTGGACACAAAGTAATTTAAGATACGCGAAAGAGAGTTTTAGAGTAGTTTTAGAATAATAAGATAATAATTATGTGTACGCGGTTGTATAAATTAATTTTTATCATCTGTTCTCCGTCGGGAGAATTGGTTTTTAATTATAATGAAAGGCATGTCCATTGATTGACATGTATATTTTATATATTAATTATTTATTTTTTTAACAAGAATCTTCTTTAAATGAAAATAAAAACGAAACGAGTACAGAATTGCATTCTGCCTTGGTTCGTTGTCCCTCTCAATTATTTCGACTCGATTGGAGTATTTTTACGTCCGGTATATAATCATCATATGTTCCGGGAGTTTTCCTACGTAAACAGTCGCGACTATATAGTACGAGCTAAGAGTACTCCCGATTGAGCCATGTGCACACGCACATACACGCGTACAGGGACGCCCTGGGACGAGTGACGATAGTTACGCCGATTTCACCGCAGCGACGACGCGAGTCATACATATACAGAAATACAAAAGTCGCGTCGTGGAAAATCGTAAAAAAGTCCTACGAAATGAAAAAGAGACTTGGCTCTTACTTGGCCGTAATCCAAATAAATGCGGATGCTGAAGTGAGGCCGGCACTGTGAAATCCGAGTTGCTTTCGTCGTGGGCGTCCTGCGTCGTGTTATCCTTCTTCCGTTCCATTGTCGGTGTCTTTGTGGACCTCGCGTAGAATGCTCATCGATCGTCTGTATGCGTTCTGCGTACGCACGTGTGCACGCACGTGTCTAATATGCATGCACGCGCGTACCTAACGTGGCCGCGTACGCGCGCGCGTATATATGTTAATATACATATACTTACTGTACTTACTTAGATAATAAGTCGCACCAGTCTCCGATAGTAATACATTGTTTATCTTCGTTCGGAATATGAACTTTCCCGCCGTTTCTTCGTTTCATGCGCGCGCTTTCACTCATACTCAATGCTCGCGTTCATTTGTTCTCTCTCTCTCTCTCTCTCTCTTTCTCTCTCTCTCTCTCTCTTTCGTTCACTCGCATGCACGCGCACACATGCCACCATGTGATTTCCGCTACATTTCCTCTGCGCGCGAACGCTGCTGACGGCGTCAGAGCGACGATTCATCCTCGACCTCGACGAACGTCGATAATCCTATATTTTTCCGTCCTCAAGCTGCTCTCGATTGAATCGTCGCTTCAAACCGACGAGTCTCGGTGTTGTTCTTAGCGTTAGTTAACGTTACTATGTAATGGTGGCTAAATTGACAAGTGTTTATATCGAAGGTATTTTCTCCGTTTAAGAACTAGAAATACCTAGACTGGCAATGTTTTATGGTATGTATGCTCGTGGATTCGCCTTCGCGATTGAGCTCTTGCTTGCCGTTTCCGCTTGCGTCGCGATATATATATGTATATATATTTCTATGTATCGCGCGACCTATATATATATATATTTTTTTTTTTATGTATACATATTGAGTCTTTAACGAAGAGCCTCGTGGACAACGACGATAGCCGAGGCTTACGCGTGCCCGATCGCTGATTGACGAACGAGAGCATGTTGCCCGGTAGAAATGCGGTAGCCACGGCGCCGCGCAAGTAGTGGTAGCGAACGTTTGGTAAGCCATGTCGGAGCAATGAGTCATTAATCTACCTGCCGGTGATCGCGAAGTAGTCCTACTCCGCGTCTAGGCAACCGCGCGGCTGCCTGTATACATTCGCTACTACTTCTAGTAGAGAAGTGGTTACCGCGTTCTCGAAATGGACCTAAGCATATTTTGAGAGCAACTCTCTGGTCTGCGAGCTGGTCTACGGCTGTCTCGGATGTCGGTCGCTTTTACTCTCTCTATTCGCTTGTACTACTCTCGTCTCGAAATAATCACCGAGTGCGTCTCTATTTATCTTTCTTGAACCATTTTCGCTTCCTCCTTTGCGAATCGGTCCTCGTTCCATAAGAATGCTCATTTCTGTGCAATCTTTTGCTCTTCTTCCTTCTCGATTCGGAGCACTGCGACGTCGTCGTTTATTTTGCCTCCTCAAGCAACACGAGGTCATCCGCGACCACGTCGCTGATGTGGAGATAAATGATCCAGTACATCAGATTGAAGCAAACGAAACATACTGGGAATACGATGCGGGAGTATTTGTCGATGTCCGACGGCGTTATGCCTATTTAAGAACGTTAAAATGAATTAGAATAGTTGCGACACGTAAGATTAAGGAGGGAAAAGAATTGCATATTTCAGTGAGCTTCCGAGTTCGCGCGGTGCCGTTTACCCCAAGGGGTAGAAAAAGCGTCTAATAGTGCATCGTAATGCTTGAAAATAAATTGTACAGATGTTTCTTAAAATGCAAAAAGCTTTTTATGAGATGATCAGTGACAAGCGTTTTCGGACGGTGTTTCAAAGCGTAGAGATATATATGTATATATAGTATATAATACAACGGCCGGGCGCAGGCGCGTGGTATCATCGGCCATGAATATTGCATAGTCTTCACGAAGTTCAAAGTACTCGATATCCATATTGCACAATTGACGGCCTTGTCAGGCCCTTTACTCGCGATGATGACACCACGCCAGTGGCCTTCCGAGCTCGCTGACGGTTAAACCGTACAATAACGTTTATTATGCACCGTTCAGAAGCTCGTTGAAATAGACAGCCTGCCAAGCTAAGAACCGAATATTGTTTGATAGCTTGCCAGGCGGGGGGTAAAATAGTGTTATAAATGTGCGTACATGGTCTACTCATACCGTAGAGCTTGGTGATGTCCTTGCTAGGATGAATAATATGTTGTGGCGCGCCCGCCGATTCTTCATCGGCGCGACCATTTATGGTGTTCTCGAGCGTCCCACCTTTGCTGTGTGCCTTTGGGTCGTGCACCTTGAACCGCACCTCCTGGACAACATGGGACCACTTACAAGAGACACGGCAGTTTGCTGTGGGGTGTCCCTCACCCGAGGTTTACCCCGTACTTTGTCAGATTGGCATGCGACACCGAGGACTGGGCAGTGTACATTTTATTTGTTCAACGCGGTGATGTCCGATTTTACGTAGTCATCGGAACGATTGTTATTCGAGAGACTCACCTGCTTTTATATCGCTGTTGCGACTCGCGTCTGCTTAGTTTATTCGACAAACGTTTAAGTATGAAATAGGAAAAGTCTCTCGTAAAAGTACCGCGGTTAGAAACGCGCGGTGCGATTGCTCGTGCTCAAGCAAAACGGGTTGGTGAAAATTCAAGCTGGTGTAGTATGTGATGCTAGTTGATATAGGTATTGTCGGGATGAGATGTGGGAGAATTATTATTATTATTATTGTTATTATTAGTTGCTGATCTACAATCATTGGTCATTCTGTTATAGAAGATTTATATTTATTTGATGTAAAATGGGATTGTTGCAGGAAGTTGTAAGACTGTCAAATACTTTTAATACATTATTTTCATTATTGATTAAATTTTAATAAAATATTAATATGCATTTGAAAGAATAACGTTAACACATAATCACCAAAGATATTCGATTTGATTTTAGTATTTCGTAAACAGTAATTCTAAAGTATAAAAGTCTCGAAAGAAACAGAACGTAATTATCAAATACGTAATTAAAAAAATCATGTAAAAAAACGCGCACGTCATAGACATTTATCGCAGGATAACATGAATAATTAACTTTGTAATAATAATTAATTAAAACGTCTCATTCTCTTATCCGACGTTTTATGACCGTCCTTCGTTGTCCGTTCCGTTCATCTATCGCTCGTTTACTCACTTCTTTCCGTTATCCTACATTGTTCTCTTTCTTTTCCGGTCTTTTAATATTTTCTGTTTTCAGAAGAGAGGAAGGGGAAGAGGGGTCTACAATACCCAAGATTAAAAGAAAATTTATAGTGCGTCGTGTTCGTGTTGGCATGAAGCACGTTGTCCGGCGCGTTGCGCGGCCGAATGGGAAATTCATTTTGCAGAACCTTTTAGCTTTTGACCTTTCGTGTGTTGAGCCTGCCGGTTTTAGTTTTTTTTTTTTAAGAGGGAGGGGGTTAGAGTGCATATATTTATATTGCGCGATGGTACGTGCTGAATCGGATCGAGAATAATGCTCGGCTTCGTCCTGTTAAGCCTGTCCTTGTAATGAGCTAAAAATAGCTTGATGAACTCTAATATTTATTTATTGGTATTTATTAAAGATTTATTTAGCATTATTTATTAAATTTAGTTTTTAATGGCGATTACTACATGATTCAATATTATATTGTTGTTTAAGATTAATTTTTATTTGAAACTTCCTTCATCGTTGATGAAAGCGAAACAGATGATATTTGTTGTATGTGTATGTTTATATCATTACACAGCTCTCGGGAGCCAAAAAGTTATGAAACAAGTGCTACGATTATGCATAAATCTGTAATCGTGCCATGATCGGGACATCTGGATATCTTGACAGAGCCGATCGTCTACTCGCTGAAAGAAAGCGTGTAAAATCGTCCAGGGGAACACTAGTACGTCTGGATCTCCTGGTCATACACAGTGACAAAACGACATTCTGCATGGAAAAAAAAAATTCAGGAACGACGACAATCTTGGCCGTCGCTACTCACAGTTTGCTTAGGCGCATGATCGCCATGATCGCCGGGCACGCGCGGCGGTCCTGGATTTTCGCTCGCCGCCTTCATGCTCTCGGCTATCTTTTGGAACCGATTCTTCCGCATCTGAATCCTCTTCGCCATGTAGCCCACCGTGGCGTACTCTGCGAAGAATAAGAATCCACGGGAATGAAAACACGTAATCATACAATGCCATGACACGTCTGCCACTGTAAGATCCGGGCGGGAAGCCCGGTTCGTGGGGCCCACTTCCATCCGTCGAGAATCTCACTCATGCTTGCGCTCCCGGTACTTGTGTAGAGCTCACGTGCAGATGGAAGAAAGCCATTTCCCTGGAAATCCCGATGCACCGCGACGGCGAAGTACCTTGATGTTGTATGTAATGAGGTACTCGCAATCGCAGTTGTGAAAACGCAACAATGTGTGTGTCAAGCCATGTAACGAATCGATTGAAGAAAGCCGCGGGATTCTCTTATTCGCATTAACTTGCCTCTGTGTGTTTCGCGATTGCTTCATGAAAACAATTTCCGAGACGCCGTTCCATCACGGAACGAAGGTTCGGACCGACAAACATCAATGTCATCAACAAGAAATAACGATTTCGAGGAAAATGGGTCCCTTGCATTTGTCACGTGAGCCCTGCACAAGTATCCGTCTACGATACTCTACGAGCTCGCTACTGGAACGGCACGGCTCCGAGCTATACGGAGTATATGAGAGGACGCAGGATGGAAAGCTTAATGGCAGCGACGTAAAGGCACGGAAGAGTACACGATCGCACTCACCGAGCAACGAGGCAAAGACCATGACGAAGCAGGTGCCCAGATAGACGTCGATGGACTTGACGTAGGAGATCTTTGGTAGCGCCGCGTTCGTCGAGGACATTAGGGTCGTCATAGTGAGCACAGTGGTTACTCCGAGGGCCACCCGAGCGGGGGTCGCGTTTCGGTTTAGCCAAAAGCTCACCCACGATATTATGACAATCAGCCCTGAGGGTATGTAGATCTGGATCAGGTAGTAGCCCATCGACCGTACGAACTGGATCTCGCAGGCCAGCCGCGAGTAATTCCCTACGATTAAAAGATCGAAGGTCAGGACAGGGAGACGGAGAGGCGCTATTTAATGTCTCTTTATCTCCCGTGCTCACTGTCCTTCCTCCTCACTGTTCGTTTATCTCTCTCTCTTTCTCGCTTTCTCTTTTCTTGTATATATATATATATATATATATATATATCTCTCTCTTTCTCTCTTTGTCCCTCTTTCTTTTTTTTCTGTCTCTCTCTCTCTCTCTCTCTCCCGCTTCTTATGCGTTCGTTGTGTGCTCTTCTACCTTCGATCTCCGTTCTTCTTGCTCGATCTCCCATTCCGTCACTGAATTTTACCAGGAAAAGCGGATTCATTGTTCACAAATAGCTCTCTCTATTCCTTGCACTGGCCGGAAATACTGCACCAGAGCTGGCTGGATGTTAAGTGAAATTCGCATCGTTGATACGCGACTCTTCGTGCTCGTCTTATGTACGTCTGTCAATGTAGATATGCATGCATGCACGTTACAGGTATATTGGCGGCGAGTATTGTGCGCCGATCGAAAGGTTTGAGATGTAGTTACATAAGAAGAAAAATGAGAAATCGATTAGAATGGAAAATCGAGTTGTCCTTGTTGCAATTTGTCCTATAATGGCTTCCTTCCGTTTTAACAAATTAGCGATAATCTATTTCTTACGCGCCATTATCACGAAAAGATATATCTGTAGGATCGAGAAAGATATTGGTTTTGTTATTAAGATGATATGAATAACATTGTTTAGTCATTATCCTCGATATAATTAGAGAATAATATCGAAGAATGAAAAGCTTAATGTTTATAAGAAAAATCACAAATGCTAAAATCATTTTCAGCTGGAGTATATGTTACATCGTTGAGCAATCTTAAACTTGCTCGTGTTATGAGAAACTGGCTTAGAGATTGACGTTGGAGCACCATGGCAGTATGAAGACAATTTCGCTCACCCAAAATTTCATTCAAACCAAGTGGAGAAATGTAGCGATGATTTTTCGAGGAAACTTACCGCTGCCGAACGCGAGAAAAGTTTAAGCCAGCGATCCGTACAACGCCAGCCAGCTCCGCTATTCGACGGGACTGACGCGCGAGATCGCGAGAAAGAGAGAGATCGATCGATCGATCGACGGCTTTACGTAAGTAAGGTACACAGGATTACGACGGTTTTTCTTACGAGCGACAATTGCGCCTGCGGACATCGGATAGCGCTCACGTGTCTCTCCACCTTACCCATGCCGTTAAAAGCGAGGGTTGAACAATTATTTGTTGGTGGTGGGGGGTGGGGTTGTGTTTATACGTTACCAGTGGTAAGACTAATCTCCATGGCACGTTGACGATGACCGAGGACCTTGAACTGAGGCAGGGAGACCTCGTTGCTGACCCCGACGCTGTTCGGGCCCTCGTTCCACTTGTACCGGATGTCCCTCATCGTGTATCCGACTGAAAAAATAGAGAGACCCCCCGCGGTTGGTACGTACCTTCGCGGAAGCCCTCAAAGCATTTCAGTTCCGAGGGGGCCTCCACTTACCTCGCACCCCCATCAAATCTTACGAGTCCGCTCTCTTTCATTTTTTCCCCTTTCTCTTTGTTCACAATTTTCGTTCTTTTCTTTCTTTCTATCTATCTGTCTCTCGCAGTTTATCTTACTCTCTGTCTTTCTCTATGAGGGATACCTTTGCGAAGAGAGCTATCGAGAGCCCAAATTAAACTGACTTTAAAGGAACATGTGGGCGGAATATTTGGCGTGTAATGAGAGATCGTAATGGACGATCTTCTCGATTGTTGTTTACGATCGAGAAGTGGAAGGCGTATCATTTGTATTTACGAGTTCGTTGTGTCGATTATTGTTTTGATGGTGATGGTTGTGGATAGTGGATATTAGGTCAAAGGTGGACATAATACTATTCCTGAAGCAATTTATATGCTCAATAGTACGTATGTTATAAAGCTATGGAAATCCATTATCCGCGCATTGAAAGGAAATCTAAATTTAAAGTTCTAGTAGAGCAAAATGTTTCATCTTCTGTAGGTCAGTATTGCTACACAATGGTAGTAAAAATAAAAATAGTACAACGTCCACACATACACACATATACACACATTTATAATGAAGAGGGAAATCAAATCTAGGAATTATGGGTACGTGTGACTCAAGTCTGCATCTTTCTTAATATTTTTAAATAAAAACCAATGAGTCGATCAGTCGATCGGTCGAAATGAATGATCGTAGGACGTCGTTGTCTCACTGAACAAGCTTGTTCTTATATAATTAAATGTGTTCGCGAAAAGATAATACAGTGAGATAATACGGTGCATATCGATGCGGATAAAAACAGGATTCGTATTATATATATGTATATATACTCACACATGACTTGTCTAATTCTCGTTGCATTTTATATATACATTTGTATATATACATATGCCTTGATCAGAGCTGGACATAATCATCCGTATGAATATAGTGCATATTCTCACATATTTTTAAAACGAAAATATTTTGCCATTTCGCTCTGATGACTTTATTTATTATGATTTTTTGTGATAATTATATAATCGACATTTCTAC